TTTGATAATATACATGGGTATAATTTCAATACTTCAAGCACCATACATCTTACAAGTCCTATAAATGAGCAAATCTTGTTGATAAGCATTCCTTAATTAATTGTAGGTTGTTCATTTCTTAGAAATGAAAATAAATTTTAGGAGAATTTATTATTTTTTGAAAATAATAATGTATCTGTCAAATATATATCTAATATATTAATTTATTATCTAGAATATTTTTCAAAGTTTCTCATATTTTAAAAAATAACAAAGAAGATATGTGCAATAAAAAAGAAAAAGAAATATAAAAAATATAAATTTGCACCTTTGGCCATTTCTCTTTTCTTCACCTTGTTTTTAAGCAAAAGTCATTGATGGAAGGAGATGATGTTTTGGTGTAATAAAAACCATCTTGCAGTTGACAAATTAATTGTTAATATCAAATCCTTATTTACATCAGTATATACATGTTACATCAAGTATCGATACATAGACGTTTTATTACACCATAGTACTCCTTTTCTCTTTTTCCTTTTTTCTTTGGTTTTCTTTAGTTCTTTTTTTCCATCTTTCTTTTGTTCCTTGAAAGTACTAAAAATTGTAACTTACACGCATTCCTATTTTGCGAATCAAATGATTATGTTCTATTCATGTAATATTTGTTGGAGCAGTTTAAGCACATATAGTCAAAGAAAGAACAAACTTTCATGTACCTCATTCATCGAACTTTAAAAAATCTCATTATTTCTTCGCTATCAAGCCTTTTCTAAAAGAAAAAAAACTCCTTTAAGTTTACAACTGCATCTCCAATCAGGTGAAAACCTTTATATAGATGTGAGAGATCACATAGTAAGTTTCATTTTTCCAAAGAGTTTTAATAACAGAAAACCCACGTTATTGAATCATTATGATGTAACGGTAATATCACATTAATTGAATTATTATGATGTATTAACTTATTTTGAAGAAGGGGATGAGCGGATAATTTTATGGGAAGGAAAAGAGCAAAAACAGAAGGAAGTTGCAAAAAAAGGAGGTAAAAGATAAATATAAATCCTGAAGGAAGAAAAGAAAGAAAGAGAGAGGGATTTAAGGAAAAAGAATAAATGGAGTAATAATGAAGATAAAGAAAATGAAAGAAAGAGAGATGAAATGGTCTTTGATGAAAAGAAATAAATGGAGTGATAATGAGGACAAAGTTTTTTCTTGGCAGTTTTTTGGGGCAGAAAATAAGGAAAAAGTTTAAAATTCTGAGAAAATGATAAATTGTCATACTGGTTAGAGAAGTATGTCACATCACCTTTTTCATTCTCATCTTTATATTTATATATAGATATAGATTTATATATAGATGAGTTAAAAATAAAACAACAACAACAACAATAACAAATCCAGTGAAATCCTATAAATAGGGAGTCTAGAGTGGACGCAGACCTTATACCTACCTTACGAAGGTAGAGAGGTTGTTCCCGATAGACCCCCTGCTCAAGAAAAAAAACTAAAAAGAAGCAAAAACAACAAATAGTAACCACAACAAGTGAATGTGATATAATAACCGAAGCGAAAGAAACAACATATAGTAATAGAAATATGCAAATACGTAAAAAATAAAAATATGAGACTAACCGGCATGAAAATAAGACACGCCAGCTTAACCACAACCCTTCTGCCATAATTCTCAACCTCTATATCTTTCTATCAAGGGTCATGCCCTCAGTAAGTGATATTCGGCTTAAAGTATGTATATAAACATTCATCTTCTTCACATTCACTTGAGCATTAAATATATAAATATCTTAGATTGGAAAATAGTTGATCATAAATTCTCATGGGAACGATACTTTCTTATCACTTTATTAGTTGTCGACCGCGTATACTTGCGTGTGCGTTTGGACCCAACAAATTTTTGGCGCCGTTGTCGGGGTATCCATCAAGTCTATCAAAAATTTATGACGACGAATGCCACCACCCCAATAGTGTTTCACTCTTTGCCCATTGACTAAAAATGTGCCATTGCTCTCGGGGTCCTTTAGCTCAATAACTCCATGCTTTGTAACTCGCACTACTTCAAATGGACCCGACCATCTCGACTTGAGCTTCCCAGGAAAGAGCTTCAACCTTGAATTGAACAAGAGAACAGCTTGACCGGGTTTGAACTCATGATGCAAAATATGTTTGTCATGCCATCTCTTTGTTTTCTCTTTATATAACTTCGCATTCTCATATGCGTGCAGACGAAACTCTTCAAGCTCATTCAGTTGAAACATCCGTTTTCCCCCAGCTAGATACATATCAAAGTTGAGCTTCTTGATTGCCCAATATGCCTTGTGTTCAAGCTCAACAGGCAAGTGACAAGCTTTTCCATAAACTAACCTGTACGGCGAAGAGCCAATTGGAGTTTTGTATGTTGTGCGATATACCCATAGAGAGTCATCTAGCTTGCTAGCCCAATCCTTCCTACTTGTGCTCACTGTTTTCTCCAAAATTTGCTTCACCTCCCTATTTGAGACCTCCACTTGACCACTGGTTTGCGGATAATAAGTAGTTGCGACCTTGCATCTCACCCCATAATTAGCTAAGAGGTTGCCAAACAGTTTGTTACAAAAGTGAGTACCTCCATCACTGATCAAAGCACGCGGAGTCCCGAATCTGATGAAAATATATTTCTTCACAAAGCTCACCACCACTTTAGCATCATTCATAGGCAAAGCCACAGGCTCAACCCACTTTGACACATAGTCAACTACAACCAAGATGTACCGATGGTCATTTGATAATGGAAACAGCCCCATGAAGTCTATTCCCCAAACATCGATGATTTCGAGCTCAAATATGCCCTTCAATGGAATCTCATGCCTTCTCAAAATTGTACCCGTCCTTTGGCACCTATCACACATCTTCACAAAAGCATGTGCATCCTTGAATAGCTTAGGCCAATAGAATCCCGACTGCAACACCTTTGCAGCCATTTTGTCTCCACCATGGTGCCCCACATATGGTGATGCATGGCAATCATGTAAAATTGCTTCCCTCCTCCTCAGGAACAAATCAACGCACAAGCTAATATGTACACTGCTTAAACAAAAATGGCTTATACCATAGATAAAGCCTCACATCATGCATGAATTTCCTCTTACTATCCGTAGATAACTCTGACAGAGTCACTCCACTTACAATGAAGTTCACATAGTCAGCATACCATGGGGTTGTGCCAGCTGTGATGGCTAGCAAATTCTCATCATGAAAGCTAACCTGAATTTCGCCCCCTTCCTCAACATATGCGCGAGTTTCCACGCGCGACAAATGGTCCGCCACCTGATTTTCTGTCCCTTTTTTATCTTTGATTTCCACATCAAATTCCTGCAAGAGAAGAACCCAATGAATTAGTCTACGCTTAGCATCCTTTTTCTCAAACAAATATCTGATGGCTGCATGGTCTATGTAGACGATGACTTTAGTTCCCACCGAGTAGGCCCTAAATTTTTCAAACACCCATACTACACCGCTAGAAACTCTTTTTCTGTGACTGTGTAATTTATCTAAGCTGGATTTAGAGTTTTGCTAGCATAGTAAATTGGGTGGAACACTTTATCTTTCCTCTGGCCCAATACGGCCCCAATTGCCATGTCACTGGCACACACATCAATTCAAATGACTCTCCCCAGTTTGGGGCGGTGATAATTGGTGCAGTCACCAATCTCTTTTTCAACTCCCCATACACATTTAAGAAATGTTCATCAAACTTGAAAGGCGTATCCTTCTCAAGCAACCTCCACAAGGGAGCAGAAATTGTAGAGAAATCTTTAATGAATCTACGATGGTAACCTGCATGTCCCAAAGAGCTTCTGACCCCTTTGACAGAGATTGGAGGTGGTAGTTTTTAAATTGTATCCACTTTTGCCTTATCCACCTCCAACCCATCTTTGGACATCTTGTGCCCGAGTACAATTCCTTCCCGTACCATAAAATGGCACTTCTCCCACTTCACCACCAAATTTGTCTATTCACACCTGACAAGCACTTTACTCAAATTCGTTAAGTATTCATCAAAAGTTGGTCCAAAGACCGAAAAATCATCCATAAACACTTCAACAAAGTTTTCTACCATGTCAGTGAATATTGCCATCATGTACCTTTGAAAATTCGCAGGTGTATTGCACAACCCAAACGGTATTCGCTTAAAAGCATAAGTGCCATAAGGACAAGTGAAGGTAGTCTTCTCTTGGTCCTCGGGTGCAATTAAGATCTGGTTATAGCCGGAGTATCCATCGAGGAAACAATAATAATCCTGTATGGCCAACCTATCTAACATCTGATTAATAAAGGGAAAGGGGAAGTGATCCTTTCTAGTACCACTATTCAATTTCTGATAGTCAATGCAAATTCTCCAACCGGTGACAACCCTAGTCGGGATTAATTCATTATTATCATTTATGACCTTCGTCATTCCACCCTTTTTAGGTACACACTGAACTGGACTTACCCACTTGCTATCAGAGATGGGAAAGATAATATCTGCATCGAGCCACTTTATGACTTCTTTTCTTACCACTTCTTTCATGACTGGGTTCAAGCGGCGTTGGTGTTCTACACTCAGTTTGTGCCCATCCTCCATGAGAATTTTATGCATACAAAATGATGGGCTAATACCACGGATGTCAGGCATGGTCCATCCAATCGCCCCCTTGTGCTCTCTAAGCACGCAAAGTAGCTTTTCTTCCTGCAAAATAGATAAGTCAGAAGATACAACAACAGGTAAAGTTTCATCAACACCTAAATAGGCGTAATGAAGATGGGAGGGTAGGATCTTAAGTTCCAATTTAGGAGCTTCTTTGATAGATGTCTTGGGAGGTGGCCCAGTTGGTCTATCTAGAGGCTCGAAATTGATCAGTCCTCTGATGTAAGCACATGCATCCATATGATGCACCATCTTCTTCACCTCGTCATCCAAGTCAATGTTGTCAAACAACATAAGTTCTTTCTCTAGAGAGTCATCCAAATATGCACCCACATTATTTCTACTTCTTCTGAATCACTGATATCATAGCTAGATCCTCATAGTGACTTGGCAGCTGAATTGCCATGTATACATTAAAGACTGCTTCCACATAATCAACCCGGAGAATCATTTTTCCTTCACGAACATTGATCACAGCATCAGCGGTGGCTAAGAGAGGTCGTCCCAAGATAATGGGGACTTGTTCATCATCTTCATAGTCCAGTATAATGAAATCTGCTGGCAGAATAAATTGTTCAATTAGTAGTAACACATCTTCTATCATGTCACGACCCAAACTGAAGCGCCGCGACAAGCACCTGGTGCCTTACTCAACCGAGTACTAACGTAACGTATCTTTCTTATCATACTATCATGGGTAAATGAGCCAGAAAAGTCGTCATGAGATAACCAGAATAAAATATAAGGGAATGCTCGACATATGACGACTTAACACAATATACAAACTTATATATGTGACATACGGGCCTATAAGGCCAACATGATCATTTGGACACTCAAAACATAGGCTGACAAGTCCATATAAGTATCCATATACATGACATCTGTCTACAAGCCTCTAAGAGTATATAAACGTCATAAAGGTCGGGTCAGGGCCTCGCTATACCAATCAATACATGTCAAAACATACTGACCAAATAGGTAACTCCAGAGCAAGTGGAGTGCACCAACGCCTTTCGCTGAGCTGATAGCCTACTAAGAGGACTGTCAACCTATCAATCGGGACCTGCGGGCATGAAACACAATGTTCCAAGGCAAAAGGGACATTAGTACGAATAAAGTACCGAGTATGTAAGGCAGGAAAGTATAAATAAGAACAGTAATGTAAAGAGAGGTAGAGAAGATACAATATGTAACATCTGAGTGCCTCTGAGGGCGACTAACATGAAATGCATGATACATAAATATATACATATAATTTTTAAAACATACGGCTCTGTGGGCATCATCATCATCATATTGTACCCAGCCTCGAAGAGGACTCGATAAAAATATACTCGGCCATCATAAGGCTTGGTAGAATCGTACGTGGCCATGTGGAGCTTGGTAAAATCCAACAAATCAGTGGTTGCACAATAGGTGTTGTACCCGGCCGACTATAGCGCGGCTCGGTAGAGTAAAATAGATACATATATATAATGCATGCTGGACTCATATAATCACGTTCAAAACCTTTCGGAGTGACGTAAGGTCGTCGCACCCTCGAATAACATTATTGACATCCATACCATCAATATGAACCTCAATATGATTCAAGGATCATATATACTTTCTTAGAATAACTTTATAAGAAAACAACAACATGGGCAGCCTTAGTTGCTAGGAGTAGATCCGTTATAAAATAGCGTATCATCTATGTTCTTTTCATATTAGATCATACCAAAAGAAAGAAGGAAGTGCCTTAACATACATTTGAAATCTTCTATACAATCGTCAAGCAAGCTTAATATGATCTTCTAACGTCTACAATGAGTAAACCGACTTCGTCGTCATCATATAAGCGTTGTAACTCTCATATTTGGAAACCAATATTCTACAAGAAAATGGACAGCTCCTCCACTGTTTGTACTACATACCATATGTTACCAAAAGTCACCAAATAGCCCAAACAACAATAATATAATTCACAATAAGCTTTCTGATTACTTCAACAACTATTTTGAGCGGCAAGCTCGATTTACGATTAACAAAATATGGTTTGAATCCAATTCCTTTTCCATGAATCTGCCTACAACATCTATAACATCATACTTATACTTACCATATTATTTTCAGCCTAAAACATCATAAGAATAATCTTCAAATATAGTGCACACGCCTAGCACCTTAACTTTTATTGTCAACCTCTTATTTTTTATGTTATCTTCTTCAATAAACTTAATTAGCACATAAATAACTTAACAACAACAGCCATAACATAATTGAGCTATTTATAAAAATTTCTAGCCACAACAAACTATATATATAGCCTCAACACAACCCACAAAAAAAGATAACGATTCCTTATGCTATGTCAATTACTATCTTGTAGAGTTTCACTCAAACATCTAAACCAACACATGATTAACCTTCAGAAAAACAAAGAACATGATTTACATATCTTAGGCAGTAGATACAACTTGAATTCCCTAGCTGGGGTAGCTCACAACAACCCTCAATCACACTACAACACTATAGGAGTTGTATTCTCTTCTTGAATCAACTTTTGTGTTCAAGTTGGTGTGTAAACACTTGTATTTCGCCTTGAAGATCTAATATATATGAAGGTAGGAATGATTCTTAGCTTAATCAACAAGAACAAGTGAGGTTACTTACCTTTGAAGAACCCTCCAAAATAGCCACAAGATGAATAACTACGATCTAGCAAGCACCATGAGATTTCTAGCGTTGGATTCATGTTTTTATCTTAGGTTTCCACCCTTAAATCATGAAGGAGCCCTTGGAGAGCATTTAGGAGGTATTAGGAACTGTTTTAAACTAGAAAAATGAGTTAAAATCACTTAGAATTGACGTAAATACAAGCTAGAACTATACACCGACTTTGTAGGTCCCGTGGGAGCTGCTTGCGCAGTCTCGCAAAAATATGAATATCTCTCTACTACGATGTCGTATCGATAAACGGTTAAATGCGTTAGAAACTAGACTCATATATCTTCAATTTGGTATGTATATCACCCCGTAATTCCAAGATGTTTGGGGGAAATCTCAGCTACATTTAACCTATGTTTCAACACATTAATGAATGTAACTTGTGATGACCTTTGCCAACTTTTGTGCCAAAACTCGCTTGACTTCAAAACATAACACACGACTAACATACGATTAAAATAACTCATAACATAACCTCCTTATAATGTTAATCACTCTAGTCTCGCTCCAAAAGTACATGTTATAACATTCCAACTTGTCGACTTTCGACGAAACTTATTTTCTTCAATGTGTTTAGCTTCTAAGCCTTCCAACCCTCTTGGTACTTGGTATTCATGATCTAAAATATTTTTAACCTCCACGGTAACATGATTAACTTACTTTATAAACGTTTCAAAGATGATTTCATTTCTAGCTTACATCAATTGACTTACGATGTACTCTTACGTACGAAAACATGGAGTGTAACATCATTCCCCCCTTTGGATCATTCGTCCTTGAATGTTGACTGTTGCGCTTATCAGTCTCATAACTCATAGCTCTTCCGAATATTTTAATACTGTCCTTGCCATCTAGGCAATTGTTCTGTGAATAAATCCAAAGGCTATGGCATTCCCCCCCTTTAAGCCTCTTTCTCACACCACGACTTGTTGTCAGAATTCTTCCAATCTCGTAACTATTGCTACCTTCTGTCATACAACATGTATGACTTTGTCCTTGTATGTGCTCCTATGCGACTCTTCTCTCCTTTTTCCTTCACCTTTTAGCCAATCTCTAGGCCTCTCTATGGGAACATATACAGAATTTTGACAAGTTATCCCTCTGGGCATCTATAGGTGTACTGAAGTTCTTCGCTCAGTACATGTCGAACTTACAACTATTGCTATATCTTATTTCATAGCCTCGGTTAGCTATGCTTATGGCTTTACTATATTTAGGTAGCTTATATTATACCATAACTCTTACTTCAGTTTATTATTACCAATGTCTTCTACCCAACTCCAGGTTAATCTCTCGCTGCTTATCTTATATGTATAAATCTAAATTCCTTAATGCTTCCTCATTACTATTCATCTTAAGAATGACAGCCCAATCTCATCTCATACTTTGTAACTTTTGTCCATTTATTATTGATTCATCTTAATGTTGATCCATAATCTACCAGTGATAACTTAAAACTTCTACCAGTGATAACTTAAAACCTCTTACATAATACATTGTCACTAGGGCTCGCGTCACATCGGGGAATATTTGAAGTGATTTCATAATCCACCTAGGGATGATACTATACTTCAATAATCATATTTCATAACATCCCAAAGTCATTCATCTTATGGGGGTATTAAAATCCCGTGCAATTCATGAAATCCCTTTTCTTTAAATCATTACTCAATCAAAGATCTAAACATCATCCCCTTATTCTACTACTAGGAAAGCATTCCATCTCTTCTAAATGCTCCTAGTCTTAGACTCCTTTGAGTTCATTCAAGCTATACTGAGCTTTCTATAACTTACGGAAACCATTAGATCTCTTGTTTTGATGGGCTTAATTCCGAGACCTTACCTATTCTTGTTACCTTCTCACCCACCTTTTTCTTATCCTTACTCCTATCTACCTAAAACCTTTTTGCTCTACCATACTTTAGCTTGCGACCTACATATATCTATTTATACTACTCGTAACCTTCCATTAACTAACTAGCACAATAGATTTTCTTTCGTGCCTTCTCAGTTGTCTTTAAATGTAAGTAATTACTTTTCCTGGTCGTTATGCCACTTGTTGTATTAATACTTGGCATATCTTAGTACCCACAAATATTGAAATTCCATGAAACCCATATGATCTTGAATATTACTTTTGATTTTACTTCCCGTTCATTAGTCACAATAGGTGTCACTTTCTTATAGAGTGCATACAATATTGTAGTGAGACTATTGTTACAAGACCATTTCTTCTTTAGGTCACTATGCTTAGGTTGAAGCCTTCTTCCTTTATTTCCTCAGCTAGTCTTTCATTGTAGTACTTAGGGAGACCTTCTGACTCTTTGTAAAGCTGCGAGCTTATTACATCGTATACCCGAAAAAGATTTCGATGTTCTTACTCGCCTATAATTATTCTTAGTTACTTACATCTATGCCATTGTGCTCGTAGGGTAGCTTCTGAACTGAAATTTTGACAATTTCCCCAGTGGTACTTTCTTTTTTTTTCGTAATACTTATACAGTACCTTTAACTACCCCAACTCATATCTGAATATTTCTCAAGGATCACAATGTCATCATATCTGTGAGACTGAATTCCCTATGTTGGGTTTCACTACGTTTGTCTTGCAAGATTTGTTGATTTATATGTATCTTCTTTTCTAGCCATAACTAGACTCTTCCTGGATCAACTACTAACTACTCGTTAGTCCATTCTCATATCTATATTTCGTGCAATCTCGCTTGGTTTATTTCTTTTGTCTTAACTTATCTCTCGTATTGGCTCCGTATGTATCAAGTGTTTATTCGCACTTATTTATCAATAACATCCTGGGTGGGAACCCTTACTTCCTCTCCTCGGCGTCGTGCTTGCATAATGTTCTGGAGTCGTAGTATATCTCTGGAATCTGAATAAATGCAATCTCATTCCTTTCGCCTTTTTATCACATTATTCCTTTAATATTCCATAGTTACCTCATCATCTTTGACGTCTTTTCACATCTTCACTGACATCTTACTCACCTTGCGGTAACCCTTCTGTACCAAGGATAACTGAATTATTTTTATGCACGAGGGTGACACCTAGTGTAACTGGCACACTTAGCCTCTTAAGCTTAACTCTGCTCACATTGCTTGCTTTCGAGAAGCGTCTTCCTAAATGACCTTTAAAGGTTATTATTTTATTGTCCATTTTATTATTACCGGAACGCAATCTCTGAAATTCTCACGATCTCGACTATTATCAAATCTTTCTATCCCTAATTTATGTTCAGTGTATCCTGTTCACTAGCCCATGTTGATTTCTATTATTCTAGGGGTCTAACTTTTCCTTCTGGTAATCACTTGGAGTCACCAACTCATTTCTCGAAATGCGGATGTGACTTTATGGCTTATACTATTTATTGTCTCAAGGCCTGTCACCTCTTCTCTTTCCCTTCACTTGACTATAAACTATATCATCCTTTCATATTTTGATTTACCGTCGTCACCCATTTATCATATCTTACTCATAGTACTTTATTTACTCTCTTCTTATTCTCCTGCTAATATTTTTATCTATTACCTTATTCTGAAAACTTCAACAAAATATTCTTTCCCTTTTAGCTCCCCTTGCTCCATCCACTGGCTCTTCGGGTCGCCTACCATTCTCTCTTTACTAGGGACGTGAGCCATACTAAGGTAAATATTTATCCCTTCTAGGATTCCAGTGCCTATCTTCTAAATTTTATGAACATGCTAGTATTCATACCTAACTGTACTATTCTAGAGTGCACCATCTGGGTGTCTCACAAGGAAAACTATTACCACGTTTGCAATATCCTTCGGAAATGTCAGCTAATGCTAACAATCCATCCACCATTTTGGGTTACTCTACCCCTGGTTGGATCTGATATCCCATCCTTCTCTTAAACTATATATGTTAGCTTCCATAGGGCATAACTGAGATGGGTGTGGCCAATTGTACATAGCTCTATTACTGTTGAAGGTAACTCATAATACTTATATTTCTCTGCCTGAATTGTAAATACTGATAATCTTCACTAACTGGGTACCTAGTACCTTTCTTCACCTTGCTTCTTTTACTTGTTGAAACTTGTATCTATTTCTGATTCTCTTGTTGCTTTTTAAACCATATGGGTGGATAGATATTCATGCCATAGGGCTCCTTACCAAGAAGCTTACACGTCTTAGTACCCACATAATCTACTAAAGACTTTACATTTACTCATCATAAGTATGATGCAAAATCGAGTTCCTCTGATCAACTCTTCCACAACCACATTAAATCTCTTACCAACTGTCTTTGTGGATGTAGGTATCCTTGTATTATGAATAAAATAGAATTTAGGAGTTTGAATTCTTACAATTGAGCTCTACCACATGATCTAGAGTAAGAAAAAAGAGTGACAGTCCTAAATGCCCTGTAGCCTCCTGCTTATAAGAGTGGTGCACAACACATCCATAAACAAGACTCTACTAGACACGACTTGTGGACTCTCTAGGATAGAACTACTCTGATACCAAGTTTGTCACGACCCAAATCGAAGGGCGGCGATGGGCTCCCGGTGCCTTACTCAACTGAGTACCAACGTAACGTATCTTTCTATATCATATTATCATGGGTAAATGAGCCAGAAAGGCTGTCATGAGATAACCAGAATAAAACATATGGGAATACTTAACATATGACGACCCAACAGGCTATACAAACTTATACATGTGACATATGGGCCTATAATGCTGACATGATCATTTGGACACTCAAAACATAGGCCGACAAGGACATACAAGTATTCAGATACATGACATTTGTCTACAAGCCTCTAAGAGTACATAAACTTCATAAAGGTCAGGACAGGGCCCCGCCATACCAATCAATACATGTCCAAAGCATATTGACCAAATAGGCAACTCCGGAGCAAGTGGAGTGCACCAATACCTTCTGCTGAGCTGATAGCCTACTAGGACTGTCAACCTGTCAATCAGAACCTACGGGCATGATACGGTGCGTTCCGAGACAAAAGGGACGTTAGTACGAATAAAGTACCGAGTATGTAAGGCAGGAAAGCATAAATAAGAACAGTAATGTAAAGAGAGGTAGAGAAGAACATGAAATTTTTCCTCTAAGGGCGACTAACATGAAATGCATGATACATAAATATATACATATACTTTTAAAAACACACGCCTCTGTGGGAATCATCATCATCAAATCGTACCTAGCCTCGAAGAGGACTCGGTAAAAATGTACCCCGCCATCATAAGGCTCGAAAGTATCATACCCGGACACGTAGAGCTTGGTAAAACCCTACTAATCCGTGGTTTCATAATAGGTGTCGTACCCGGCCGACTATAGCGCGGCTCGGTAGAGTAAAATAGATACATATATATAATATATGTTGGACTAATGAAGTCATGTTCTAAACCTTTCGGAGTGACGTAAGGTCGTCGCACCCTCAAATAACATTATTGACATCCATACCATCAATATGAACCTCAATAGGATTCAAGGGTCATACATACTTACTTTGAATAACTTTATAAAGAAAGAACAACATGGGCAACCTTAGTTGTTAGGAGTACATCCGTTATGAAATAGCGTATCATTTATGTTCATTTCACTTTAGATCATGCCAAAATAAAGAAGAAAGTACCTTAAAATACGTTTGAAATCTTCTATCCAATCGTAAAGCAAGCTCAATATGATCTTCTTACGTCTACAATGAGTAAACTGACTTCGTCGTCATCATATAAGCGTTGTAACTCTCATATTTGAAAACCAATATTCTACAAGAAAACGTACAGCTCCTCCACTATTTGTACTACATCCCATATGTTACCAAAAGTCACCAAACAGCCCAAACAACAACAATATAATTCATAATAAGCTCTCTGATTACTTCAATAACCATTTTGAGCGGCAAGCTCGATTTACGATTAATAAAAAAATGGTTTGAATCCAATTCCTTTTCCATGAATATTCCCACAACATCTATACCATCATACTTATGCTTACCATATCATTTTCAGCCCAAAACATCATAAGAATAATCTTCAAATATAGTCCATACGCCTAGCACCTTAACCTTTATCGTCAACCTCTTATTTTTCATGTTATCTTCTTCAATCAACTTAATTAGCATATAGATAAGCTTAAAAACAGCAGCCATAAAATAATCAAGCTATTTATAAAAATTTACAGCCACAACAAACTATATATATAGCCTCAACACAGCCCACAAAAAAAGATAACGATTCCTTATGCCATGTCAATTACTATCTTGTAGAGTTACACTCAAACAACTAAACCAACACATGATTAACCTTAAGCACAATAAATAACATGATTTACTTACCTTAGGAAGTAGATACAACTTCAAATCCCCAGCTGGTGTAGCTCACAACAACCCACAATCACACCACAATACTATAGGAGTTGTATTCTCTTCTTGAATCAACTTTTGTGTTCAAGTTGGTGTGTAAACATTTGTATTTATCCTTGAAATGATAATATATATGAAGTAGGGACTGATTCTTAGCTTAATGAACAAGAACAACATGAAATCTGAAGTTACTTACCTTTGAAGAACCCTCCAAAACAGCTACAATACGAAGAACTACGATCTAGCCGTGGGATTTCTAGCGTTGGATTCTTATTTTTATCTTAGGTTTTCACCCCAGAATCATGGAGGAGCCCTTGGAGAGTACTTAGGAACTGTTTTGGACGAGAAAAATGAGTTAAAACGACTTAAAGTTGACTTAAATACAAGCTGAAGTTTTACACCGACTTTGTATGTCTCGTGGGAGCTGCTTGTGCAGTCTCGCAAAAATGCAAATATCTCTCTACTCCAAAGTTGTATCGACAAACGGTTAAATGCGTTAGAAACTAGACTCGTAGATATTCAATTTGGTAGGTATATCACCCCGTAATTTCAAGTATATTTAGAGAAAAGCTCAGCTATATTTGACCTAATTTTCAGCACATTAATGAATGTAACTTGTGATGACCTTTGCCAACTTTTATACCACAACTCGCTTGACTTCAAAACATAACACACAACTAGAACATGACTAAAATAAATCATAACATAACCTCCTTATAATGTTAGTCACTCTAGTCTCGCCCCAAAAGTACATGTTATAACATTCCAACATGTCGACTTTCGACGAAACTTATTTTCTTCAATGCGTTTAGCTTCTAAGCCTTCCAACCCTCTTGGTACTTGGTATTCATGATCTAAAATATTTGTAACCTCCACGGTAACATGATTAACTTACTTTATAAACTTTTCAAAGATGATTTCATTTCTGAGCTTACATCAATTGACTTACGGCGTACTCTTACGTACGAAAATATGGGGTGTAGCATATCACCCCCTCGGGATGGAAAATAGATCTATCAGCAAGCTTCAACATATCTGTGGTTGGCCTTGGAGCTTCCAACCCCAATTTACTGAAAACTGATAGGGGCATCAAATTTATGCTAGCTCCCAAATCACAAAGTGCATGTCCTACATCTACCTCACCAATTCGAACAGGTATGGTGAAGCTCCCCGGATCCTTCAACTTTTGCAGCAATTTTCTTTGAATTCTCGAGGTGCACTCTTCAGTAAGTTCCATTGTCTCAAACTCTGTGAGCCTCCTTTTGTTAGCCACAATATCTTTTATGTACTTAGCATATTTTGGGATTTCACGTAGCACATCAACCAATGAAAGATTCAATTGAATTTGGCTCAGCATATCAAGAAATTTGTGAACATCCTGTCATCACTTTTCTTCTTCAATCTTTGTGGGAAAGGAGGTGGTGACCTTACAATCAGAGTCTTTTCACTTTCTTCAGTTTCTTTATCAGCTTCTTTCGCAGTTTTGGGGATCAGCTCACTCTTAGGAGTGACTTGTTCTTTCTTTCTTTTTGGGACTTCTTCTAATTCTCTGCCATTCCTCAAAGTTACAGCATTTACCAGAGGATTCTTACCTGTATCATTAGAAAGGGCCCCTGCAGGTTAAATGTTTTGTTGTGCAGCCAATTGCCCAATCTGTCTCTCTATGTTTTGAAATTCAGTCCTCAATTACTGATTATCTGTTCTAAGTTGTTGGTTGTCAATCAATAGCTTTTTCAACATATCATTAGTGCTTTCTTCTACCTATTGAGGTGGCTTTTGAGGCTGATTATAGTTCCCTTAAGGCCTGTATTGATTTTGAGTGGTCTGATTCCCACCCCATGAGAAATTCGGGTGATTCCACCAGTTGGGATTATAGGTGTTTCCATAATGATTATTCTGGTTCATTGGACCTCTACCTTGCTGGCCCACATAATAGATAGATTCAGGATTCACCGGACATTGGTCGCTCATATGGCCATCTCCACAAATTTCACAACATATAGCTATCCTCTGAACCTGCTGCATTTGATGCCCTTGACCCATTGCCATATTAGCTATTTGGTTGTTTAGTTTAGCAATCTCTGTTCGCACGGCTAACATCTCATCCAGCTCGAGTGTAACTGCTACTTTCTGTTTTATCATCCTTCTCGAGTCACCTTCACCCTACCAGTTATGATCATTTGTAGTGAAATTGTTGAGCAGAGTCTGAATCTCAGTGTATGGATTTTGCATGCAACTTTCTCTATAAGCTGAGTCTAGATTAATTTGAAGGTCTCGTCTAATCCATCCACAAAAGTATGTTCCAACACCTCATCATTCTGACAATGATGTGGGCAGTCTCTGAGTAATTTCTTATATCTTTCCCAAGCATGACAAACAGTCTCACCATCTCGTCGTTGAAACCCAAGAATCTGGCTCCTCAGTGCCTTAGTCTTCTTAGTGGGAAAAAACTTGATTAGGAATTTTCGTGCCAGATCATCCCAAGTGTGGATCGAGTTTACGGGCTCCTTGTTTAACCATTCCTTTGCTCCCCCCATTAGAGAAAAGGGAAACAAAGTTAGTCTCACATAGTCCTTAGAGACGTTTAGATAGTTGTATGTATTCGTAATCTCCAAGAAATTCTGTATATGCCGTTGGGGATCCTCGCTTGACAACCCCACAAATAGCCCTATGGATTGAATCAGTTGCTGAAGTAGCACGATGTCATGCCTAATCACCTCTCCCTAATACTTCTTATGCCGCTCTCTACCTCTCCTCAGCCTCCCATTGCCAACCTCTCATACCTCCTCATTGGGGCATCAATGCACCTCTTCTAAACCTGCTCGTACCATTCCAATCTAGCTTCCCTCATCTTGTCCTTTGCGGGTGCCATTTCCACCTTTTTTCGAATATCAGTATTCCTTATCTTATCTAACCTGGTATGCCCACACATCCATTTCAGCATCCTCATTTCTGCTACTTTCATCTTCTGGATATGAGTATTTTAAAAATAAAACATAAATAACTAGCGATTGAAAAAAAAACATATTACTAAGTTTTAGTTCCTCTTATTTTAAAATACTCCCTCCGGTCCACAATAAGTGATTTTTGGATCTTTTTTTGTGGTCCAAAATAAGTGATTTTTTCAAATTTCAAGAAAGAATTAATTGTATTTTTCCTACATTGCCCTTGGAGTAAATAGTATTGGAGTATGTGTTAAGAGTATTTATGTGAAGAGATAGTAAATGTTAATATGGTCAATTTCATTGTTAATTAATGTTAAAAGGTGAATTTCTTAATCTGTGTGAAAACAGCCAAAAAATTACTTTATTGTGGACCGGAGGGAGTAATGGCACAATGCATGTAAAAGTTCTACTCAAATAACAGACTAAAATATTGTGAATAAGAAAAATTTGAGAAAAGGAAAGACAATTTCTAAATACTAATTGTATCACATTTAAAAGTTCAAAATTTAAAGCAGATGTAATAAATTAAAAAAAAAAAGAGTTAAAGAAAGAAGAATTGGGAGAAGAGAATAATATTTGGGAAATTGGAAGGACAAGCGTGTGGCACGCGGGCCAACCCTCAAGAACAGGCATTGCCTTCACAGTCTTCTAAGATGCGGTCAAACGAAACTCATTTGCTTCTAGGCCTATGTTTTTCACTTCGATAATTCCCAGTACTTGTATCTTATTCTAATTCTTCTGCAATAATTATATTCTACTCTAAATTTTATGTATGGAACATTACATGTTTATTCTTAAAAGAAAAAAGTTGACTGATTTACCTTCCATACTTTAAAAGGCTTGTACCTTCGGAATTCAGCAAGGGCATAAAAGGAAAGAAAATGGTAATTTATTATCAATAATACTAATGATGGATCCTCAATATTCAAAAAGAAAGAACAACAGATCAGAAAACTCAATCTAAGCTAGTCGAGGAAACATGCTTTTGTTAAGAATATGTGTTCGAAAATAATTTTTGCAAAAATGAAATAGAAATAGAAATAAAAGAATTAAAAGTTTTGAGCCCAACAGAAAACTGTGTTCCCATAAGAAATTTAATCCCCTCACTATTGTCCAAGGTTATTAGATTAATTCCTCCGAAGATAGAACAAAATAACTATTCTGTAATACTGGCAATAAAAATTATAGGACTTCGTCGAACTCAACAAACAACAGTAAATAATACTGATGCTTACTTTTTGCTTTGAAAAGTAATGCAGAAATGCAAAGAAAAGAAGAGAGAATGTATGCAAATTTTTTGTTGTTCACTAATTAAATTTTATTTATCAATGATCTAGGCATAGGTAGCTATCCACTCTAGAATTCTTCTCATTACCTCTCTTGGGAATGTTGTCAAGCCCTAGCTTGGGAGGCAACTTTGCAGTGTGGTGCGGTCGCGGTGCGGTTCAGCTTTAACCCGCAAAAACTTCAACCCGCACCACGAAGACTTCTCATTCCTGTTGCTTGAGCGCCTATGGGTTCACGTTCTATTTCACTTCTGATGGGGGTTCTTTCCATCTTTCCGTCACGGTATTACTTTGCTATTTGCCAGTTAAGAGTATTTAGGCTTGCAACTAGCAAGCGCAGGGGCTCACCTTTGGGCTTTAGAAGTACAACATGTAGGCTAAATGACTTCAACACTGAATATCCCAAATAGTCAACACTGAATATCCCAAATAGTCCTTTAGTCTCAAAGATTCAAGATGAGTGAACCCTTTATCTCTTGAGAGAAGTTGTAAAATGAGGTTAATCCTCTGTATTTATAGCCAACAGTTTGGGTTTCAATAGGTGATAAGATACCTGTTCGTTTGAGAAGATGTTTGTTCGCCATAATTTAATTTTTGTTAAGCGCGAATTTCATGAAAAAAATCAGAAAAAGAAAATAAATAATGGAAAAATAGAAAATAAATTTGGTCCAAAAAATTTAGTAATCAATCAACCAAATCCAAATCCAAATCATCCAAAGCCGAAGCCGAAGTCGAGGGAGCGACGATGACGACGCGAGTCACCACTTCTTCTCAACTCTTTTAAGAGCTAGAAGATGTGCTTCTCTATATAAGCACGTAGATTTTCTTTCTATTTTTCGATAAGGGATAAAGTGCCTTAGTAAAAGTAACACTTCAAACTTTTTGTTTCTCTTCAAATCTTTTTCCTCCATTTTCCATTCACGCCTCTTTATTTTATTAGATAAAAATCCAACAATCCCCCACATGAATGGGGAATGGCTATCTGAAAATATGCATGCATAAAAAAACTGTGTGATTTACAAGCAAGGATTAATCACATATGTATAAGTAGGTTTTTCTTTGAACTTTTCATAATGAACTTATGTCAGATATACTCGATCAATTGGTAGATTTGATATCTTGAACCATCAAACTTTGGTGTATACCTAGACAGCCACAAGTCACAGAGTCAACCCTTTAATCATTTTTGGTTCTCATTGTTATGTTCATTTCAACTATGAACATCACCTGGTTCATAAGTGTATAGAGAACTGGCCTTACAAAATTCTCCTTGAAGCGGCTTACACTTCTCACTTACATAGGTGATTTCTAAATGTGTTATCCCGTAGATACACTATTTTAAATACTCCGTATCAAACTTAAAAACTGAACATTGTCTTCATCATGAGAATGGACTAAAATTTTATTTGACAATGTTGAACCATCATTAATGATTTTGTTTGATCTCTTTGAACCTAGATCTTGGGATCTCCAGTCTTCTAGGTAGAGTTGCCGCAACAATGACTTATCCTCGCCATAGTCCCATTCCCTTCGATGATTTATCAACCACCTCTTTAGTTAGGCCTTTTGTAAGTGGATCCGATACATTTTCTTTTGACTTTGCATAGTCAATTGTGATAATTTCACTAGAGAGTAGTTGTCTAACGGTATTATGTCTTCGTCGCTTGTGACGAGAGTTTCCGTTATACATAACGCTTCCAACCCTTCCTGCTTGACAATAATAACATATGCATATAGGAGCAATTGGTTTGGGCCAAAATGGAATATCATCCAAGAAATTCTGGAGCTATTCACCTTCTTCTCCAACCTTGTGTAAAGCTATAAAATCAGATTCTATTGTAGAGCAATCGATGCATGTCTATTTGGATGATTTCCAAGACACTGCTCCTCTACCAATGGTGAAAACGTATCCACTTGTGGACTTTATTTCTGCTGATCCAATGATCCAATTTGCATCACTATGTCCTTCAATTACCGCAGGACACTTATAATAGTGCAAAGCATAA